ACCCACGTAACTTGTAGCTTTCTGAAAGATGACCGAATTTTACCAAACGACATCGGCAATCCATTCCTAAAGTGTAAACAATGTAAACTCTTAATCATCAAATTTCTTACTCTTCTTCTGATCCTCAGAAACTGTTGAAAGCAGCAGCTTCTGACACCTTTCCCCTTATTTCTCTTGGGTGTCTCCCGCTATTCCACTGGGGAAAGAGTCTGTGGTCAAATGAGTTTGGATACAGCTGGGTAAAAACGGCACGAAATGAGGTTTCTCCTGCCGAACTCCTCTGAGCCTTCAATGTGCTGATGTTTGTTTGGAATCTTCCAGAGGAGAATGTCTTTCCTGAACTTACTGATCACAGAACCCTTCTCTCCAGGAACATGCCCTAGAAATAACGGTGCAGGGAACACGCTTGAAGTGATTCACAGCTCGCTCAAGCTGCTCCCTGACTCGTAAGAATGACCCCAAAAGCATAGGAAAAATCAAACTGCCAGAGGTGCCTGGAAAGAAACAATATACATAAGGAAAAAAAAGTTTAGTTTTGAAAACCCAAGGCATGAAGGGAATGCTATGTTTTCAGCCCAAAAGTTGAAGACTGGAATATTCCATAGTTGAAATCTTTGAAAAAAATCATGATGTTATTGGCAAGTATACAAAGATACATAAGGCCATGACAGCTTTTTGTTTCCCAGTGGAAATGTGGTCAGGCTTCACTCTGGGCAGCAAACTACCAGACCCTTGCCTGACTGAAAGTCATGATGATGAAACTGTCCGTTGAGCGCTCACTATGAACTGGACATTCCTCTAAGCACTTTGGAATTAAGCTATTCCATATCCTGAAAGCGAGCCTATGGGGTAGATATAGTTATTACCCCATCTTACAGATGTGAAGTCAGTGACTCGGTTTCCTCAGTGCACAGCTCAGGGTTGCATAGCTGGGGGGTGGGGAAGGCAGGATGGGCAGCCGCCAGGCAGCTGGAGCCTTCTCACCCCACCGCTGCACTCCTCAGACCTGCTGCCTGGGAACGGGGAGGCCAGTGGCCAACGAAGGCAATGAGGGATTAAACTAGCAATAAAAGGCAGGCTGTGGCAAGGGTCACACGAATGGACGACAAGCGCATCTCTCTGGGTTTAGAGGGTAGAGGCTAGTGAGCAAATCTCAGGACCATCAGTGAAACTGGTTCTGGAAGATGTTTCCTTAGAAAGACTTTCGGAGACCAAGAGCAGCTGTTGACCCAAGACGGTTTTACAACACTATCTGAGAGCATGAATGTGTTGTGTTTTGCCACAGTCAAAATTACGTTTTTAGGAGGATGATTTTTTTTTTTAAGTTTTTTTTATTAACATATAATGTATTATTTGTTTCAGAGGTACAGGTCTGTGATTCAACAGTCTTACACACTTCACAGCGCTCACCATAGCACATACCCTCCCCGATGTCCATCACCCAGCCACCCATCCCTCCCAGCCCCCACCACTCCGGCAACCCTCAGTTTGTTTCCTGAGACTAAGAGTAGGAAGATGATTTTGTTTTAGTGGGGTATGTAAATGTCCCTTGCGTGCCTGTACTGAAAATGAAGTTAGAACCTCAGTTGGCAAAGCCCGTTGAGCACCAGTGAACCCTGTGCTTGGTGCTGAGAATGGAAACCGTGGTTTCAGATAGACTCCTACCCTTGGAATCCTCAGGGGAATAATGTATTTGTTGGGGGGGGGGCTTTTTGTATATTTTTTATATCCCCCACCTTTCCCCCGAAAGGATTTAAGGCCAGAGATGTTTGTACGGGCCTTTTGTTTTTCAGACACTATACAAATACTGTGAAATATCAAGTGTTGATATAAAAATAAGTTAATCCTGGGGCGCCTGGGTGGCTCAGTGGGTTAAGCGTCCGACTCTTGACTTGGGCCCACGTCAGGATCTCAGGGTTGTGACACTGAGCCCGGTGACCGGCTCCACACTCGGCCAGTCGGCTTGAGGTTCTCCCTCTCCCTGTGCCCCTCCCCCCCCAAAATAAATCAATCAATCCTTAAAAAAAATCAGTTCATCCCCTGCAATGTGGGGCTCTAAGCCAGGATTCAATGGCACAGACTGTGTGATAAGGAATGTGAGCCAAGGTCCTTTACCAGTTGGTTCTGGCTAAGATGCCAGCCCGTTTGGGCCAGTGAGAAGTTGGGGCCGACCGGCTCCCGGGTTCCTTCTCTCGCTTCTGACACTTCCTGAGCCTGTGCTCATAGTGCTGGGGCTGGTTTTCGCAGTGGCAGATACCCACACGCTGTACTTTGTTGAAAGCCTTTAAACTAGATACTTAGAATGCCTGTGACTTCATGGTCACTGAGTTTTCTTTTTATCAAGTTTGTTGCATTTCAGCAAGTATTCGCCATTCTGTTTGGTGACCAGGTCGGGTGAGGGATGTTAGGAGTTGTCCCTTGGTGCCGTCAGATGTCACCTGAGTTGTCTGCACTGACAACATCTGTGGGGAAGTCAAAGTCAAAGGGAGGCAGAGGTGGGCCAGAGTTTAAGAGCACAGACTGGAGTTGCAACAGGCTGAACTTGAATCCTGGCCCAGCCATTTCCTGGCTGTAAGACTTGGGGCAAGCCACCTATCCCATAGGGTTCAGTGACACGGTGCATGTAAACCATTTCTGCAATGCCAGGCACGATAAGTGTCACCCTAAAAAAATTACTAGTGTTACCGTTACTAAGCGGTTATCGAGTGGCCGGGTAATGCCTGGACTGGAGGACGCCACCGCTCTAGTCTCTCCCAGAGCCTTTGGTAGACACGTGACTGCGGCTTCTGCATGCCGAGTCTTGTCGCGGAGGTCTGTGATCTGGTGGATCACCAGTGCTGTTTCCCTTCCAGCCTGCGACTGTGACCCCAGGGGCATTGAGACACCACAGTGTGACCAGTCCACTGGCCAGTGCATCTGCGTCGAGGGGGTCGAGGGTCCACGCTGTGACAAGTGCACGCGCGGGTACTCGGGGGTCTTCCCCGACTGCACTCCCTGCCACCAGTGCTTTGCTCTCTGGGACGTGATCATCGCCGAGTTGACCAATCGGACCCAGAAGTTCCTGGAGAAAGCCAAGGCCTTGAAGATCAGTGGTGTGATCGGGCCATACCGGGAGACGGTGGACTCGGTGGAGAAAAAAATCAACGAGATCAGAGACATCCTGGCCCAGAGCCCTGCCGCGGAGCCGCTGAAAAACATTGGGGATCTCTTTGAGGAAGCGGAGTAAGTAGTCCCTGAGCCAGGGAAGGTGCTCACAGTATTGTTTCAACCTGTCGAGAGATGCCCAGGCGTGGCGCCTCCATCAGAAGGCGTGGTGTGCCCTGTGAGTGAACTCGGATGCCGCGTCATTGGCTTTCCAGCAGTCTTCACTCTGGGCATTTGGGCGAGTGAACACTGACCAAATTGCAGAGGCTGCAGAATAGACTGTGTGCGGGTCCCGTTCAGCACTCCTCTTTGCGAACGGTGCTCTGAGCTAGTAGAATGGCAAGGACATTGGCTTCGGAGACAGAGGCTCCGTAAATGAGCCGTAGCTTGGTTAGTTGCTAGGCTTGAGAATTTGAATGACTCACTTAGGCCGCGTCTCTCTCTTCCCTCCTCCGGAGGAGGGGAAGGCAGTATTTACCTTTACCTTACAGAGCAGCAGAAGGATTGATCTGTGAAAGGACAGTGTAATTGCCAAAAACACGATGAATAGAAGTCGTCGTTACTACGCTTTGCTCCTAACCAGGAAATCCATTCTCACAGCAAGACCCCTGCTTCCAAGTCCTTTCTGCAGCTCTGCTGCTGGTTGGCTAGAGCGGTGCTCCCCTCTGTAATTATAACAAATTCTCCTCAGTGAAAAATTCTCCTCGTAGCCCTTCTCCGGGTTATCCTCTCTGCCTGGTATCTATTTTGCCAGTGAAAGCAGAGAGAACTGAGCTCTGAGTGATGCTCAACTTCTCGGGGCTCATTTTTTGACCATTTCTCCAGCTCCCAAACACCCCCACTCCCTTCCCACATTTTCTGTGTGAAGGGACGGGAATCAGCCTCTCTGGGAAGCCCGATGGACTTTTCATCTCTGCACTGTGAGCAGCAAGCTGCAAGGGATCAGCTGACATGCGCTTAGGCACCTTGTGGGAGGCCCTTCCTGGACCTTCTAGATTTCAAGTAGCTGGTCCCTTGGTTTCAGGCCAGAGGTTTCATGTCCAAGACCATGGGGTGGACCAGAGTGCTGGGAAATGTCTGATGTGGCGACAGTGCATTTAATGAGGAATCTTAGCTCATTAGAGTTCTGGACGGTGGACAGCTCAGTCTCCTAACACGTAGCGATAACAAGTTCTGGAAGGCTGTGGTCCAAGGACAAGCCCATTTAGGACCTGATTCTTGGCCTTGGTCTCACACACCCAAGGGAGAAAGTCAAGCTGGGTGTCCTTTGAGAGCCTGCCGGAGGAGGGATCACATTCCCGAAATGGCTCTGTTGCTCCCCTCACTAGTCCTCTAATTGGAGAGATTGTAATCATCCCAGGGAAACTGGTTTCATTAATCTTTTTTCAACACAACATCCGAAGATGGGTGTCTTAGGATCCAAAGTGGCATTACTAAAAAAATACACAGTGTTAGATTTGATTTCTTTAAAAATCATTTAACATTGTAGGAGAGCTGAGAAGAAAACCAAAGCCTTCTGTGAATCAGCAGGTGAACAGAAGAAAGCACTGAAAAAAGAAACTATATTATAATTGTCTCAGGAAAAAGTGGTGGGGTTTATAAAATGTAATTTAACCTACAAATCCTTTGAAGTACTTTTTGAGTTGGATCATGGTTTTATCTCGGCCTTAAATGGCATTTTTCAAATGGCCCCCAGCCTTTTAGCCCCCACTATGTTCTCCCAGTGTTTTTTTATACTGACTAGTATTTCCCTGAGACGACAATGAATTAGGTGACCCAGTAAAGCCCAGAGCTGAGGTCTTCTCAAATATTGTTTTCTTTGTTATAATATATACATATACACACACACATACGTGCATACACACACACTGTATTTATAAGTAATGTACAAATAGATGCTTAAAATACAGCTTTGGGGATGTGAAATACAGAAGAAAATGCAGTTGGGTTTAGATTCCAAATGAAATATTGTGAAAGCTAACTGCGTATCCAAGTCCATCCTGGTAGATACTACCTCCTTTCTTATGAGAAATAAAAGGGTTGCTTGTTGGTGGAAGGAGGAGGGTCCTTGGATGGGACCTTGCCACCGGGGGAAGTATATGAAAAGCTGTGGGCGGGTCCCGGGGGTCCTGGTGGCTGTGAGATTTCCTTTCTGCATGTCCCATCTTGACGGTGATCCCTGAGGTTCAGGTAAGAGCATTTCTCGGCAGGTGGCCGGGAAGTACAATTCTACACTGGAGTCCTTTATGTCTTCTGAGTTGTGGGACTGTCTGACGCTGCTTACATTCAGAGCTGGAGCTCCATGCCCTGGACCTTTGCTCAGGTGCTCAGAATCCCTTCAGGAACTTCCGCCACAACACAGCTGATTGGCGCTTCTGTGTTTTTCTTCAAAGTCTTGGAAGAAAGGAAAATTGTTAGATTTGACACAGTCTCTTAATGATGAAGAGAATAAAACCAGGACTTGGAAATAGTTAGAAAGTACGGAATTGGTTTGAAAACACAGAGTAAGGGGTACAGGATTTGTAGAAAATAGAAAAACGAGACTTCAGAACTCCCCTTTGGTTTATTGTACTTAGGCGAACTTCTCCCCTTTACAGGAAATTAACCAAAGACGTTTCGGAAAAGATGGCTCAAGTAGAAGTGAGATTGTCTGACACAGCTTCACAAAGCAACAGCACAGCCAGAGAACTAGATGCTCTGCAGGCAGAAGCGGAAAGCCTAGACAACACCGTGAAAGAGCTTGCTGAGCAATTGGAATTTATCAAAAACTCAGATATTCGGGGTGAGCATTTTTTTGTGCAAACACGCAGTCCCGGACAATGGATTCAACACACTGTCTGACCCTCTAGTACGGCACTTTCAGAATAAAATTTAGTGCTTTCTAATAATCCTAGAGCTTTTTCTCACCAAGTGTCTGGCACAAGTAAGGATTAAGGCCCCCGGTCACAAATGTGCGACCTGGGACTCGGAGAGCCTAAGACCCGGGAGAGGTTCCGTGGAGTGAGCAGCGGAATGGCATCCGGTTCCTGATTTGTTTTCAGTGGATGGTTTAACCTCCTTGGTATTTCTTGGAAATGCGCTCTTGTGAATAGTTCAGAAGTCACATTGATATTTCAGCAAATTCTTTTATATTCAAGAATGTTGCCTGGTCAGGGAAGAATTTTTGCAGCATCAGATCCCGCTAACCATCCTATTCTACGCACAACCCTTTATTTTTCTGGCTAGGTCCTCAAAGCCACAGTATGCCATGCTGTTTTATGTATGTCATACTAGCCATTTGAGTGGCTCTGAATAGTTAAATGAGTAGGAAAAGAGAAGAAAAAATATCTGGGTATGTAATCTGCGGGCTGCCTGATGCTGTTGGCTGTTGACTGAGAACTGGAAGATCGCCTGTTTGCAGAAACATCTGCATGACTGAGTTAATTTTGCATCCAGATGTTTGGCATCCTCCAGAGCCAGAATAGCTGCTAATGGGACACAGTGTAGCCATTGCTCATGAGGGGAAAGTTATGTTTCTTCCTAAAGATTTTAGTCCTTGAATTTTAGAGCAAAATCATACAGTCAATTTTGGGGCAGACACCAGATACGGCCATCGCTTCCTGAGACTGAGCACAAGAGGTTTCACTGTGGGCGATTCCATTTTGTGCCCTAGGTGCCTTGGATAGCATTACCAAGTACTTCCAGATGTCTCTAGCGGCAGAGGAGAGGGTGAACGCCTCCACCACAGACCCCAACAGCACCGTGGAGCAGTCGGCGCTCACCCGGGACCGAGTCGAAGACTTGATGATGGAGCGAGAAGCCCAGTTCAGAGAAAAACAAGAGGAACAGGCCCGCCTTCTGGATGAACTGGCAGGCAAACTACAAAGTCTGGACCTTTCAGCGGCTGCTGAAATGGTAAGGTTTTTGAGGGTTTGGCCCCAAGGCTAGGATGCAATAGGAAGAGAAACGACCCTGTTTTGTCTATAATCCTGTTCACTTTGCAAATGAACCAGCGGGAGTGAAACCGGTCTCTAGTCTCTGGACCACCTATGGGTGACCACCTATGGGTACCCACCATCCAGCCAGATCAAAACAACATCTGCCTTTCCACACACCCCCTCCTTCCCCCACAAACCCCTACCCCCACCCCCGGGTTCCAGAGGTTTCTCTGTGATACAAAGAATCAGGACTACTTTCCCAGACTGTTACACTGACTTGCTGATTTCCTATTCAAATTTGAACCCTTTAGACTGTGGACATTTCTTTTTTTACATAGTTCTAATTTGAAGTGCAAACTCCCTTTTCCGTGGAGCAGTTTCAGGAACCATTCTGGGAGGGACTTGAAAAAATTAAGGGAGCAAAAGAATTTTTCCCTTGGTGTAAATTCGAATGTTCCTTTGTTCCAGTAACTTTACCTGGTGAAGATTAACCCTGAGACCAACCGCGAAAGTAGATTCATTTCCCAGAAGCTTTTAAAGAGTAACTCTGGAGCCAAACGAAATTGAGTAGTGAGTTTAATGAAGATCCGGCAGAAGGCCAAAAAAAGCCAAACTCTGCCTGTTTTGTCCTCTTGTTTCCTTATTGTTTTTCAGGGAAGGACACCTACTGAGAGAATTTGGAGGGTATTGTTTATAGAATAAGGCTTGTGGTCTCTTAGCTTAGGAACACAGAGGAACAGTAATGGCAAGAGGCAGGTGGATGCAGAAAGGCCAAGGGGACAGTGCAGGCTTCCTTTGGATTTTGTCTTTAGTGAAAAGCCCCCTCCCCTCCCTCCCTGCCTCCTTACCTTGCCCATCTCGCGTTCTCTGCAGTTGGCAAAAACACACTGTCGCTGCTACTGTATTGTGCCAAACGTAATTGCTGCCTACAGGGTTATAGATTCTCTTATCACACGTTATAGCATGTAGTGGGACTAGGGAGTAAGGTAGATCTCCTGTCATGGTTTAATAGAAACACGGGGGCCCAGAGCAATGTGCCCACTGTGCTTTGTAGGGCACAAAGTAACTATATACAGGCGTGGGATGACAGCTCTCTCAGTCTTTCCTTTCGGGATTGATTCCTTAGAAATTCCAATAAAAACCAGTAATCACAAACAAAATCCACGCACTAAAGCGAAAGCAGCTGAGTGTGCTGAAGGATGTTTGCTTTGCAACAGAGGGTAGTGAGGGAGTGGGGGGCCGTGTGAATGGGTGCCCTTTCCCTGTGGTTGCTTGTCCATCGGGTGAGCTAACCTTGGGGTTGGCCAGCTTCTGGTTGCTCATTGGATGTATGCAATTCTCCTCTGCGAGCTCTCTTTACGGGTTCCATACTGACAGTTCTTGGATAGAGAGGTTTTTGTCCCTTTGTGTTTTTCAGGTACCTTCAGTTCTTTGTTTTGTGTATATTTAGATAGACCCATGCCATTTTTTTCATGCCTGTGGCTGAAATAAAACAGATCTCCTCATGTGTTGTCAGAGTGTTTTTAGAAAGCATCCCTGAGCCCTTATGCTTCCCTTAAGGCCCCCGTTCTTCTAGAGCACGCAGAATAAACTTTCTTCTCTGAAGCTTTTTATATGCTATAAACCAGATACATGAAAGTCCATTATTTTGAGACACACTGGAATTATAATTATCATAAAACTATTAGTCTAAGGAGTTGACTATTTATTCAAAAACTACTTTTTCCTTGTCGGGGAGCATTACCTGCTTTTCACTATCTCTGTTCAACGTGAGAGGACAGCTCCACAGTTTTCTCCCTGCTCAGCCTTTTCCATCATATAGCAAACTTATCATTTATCCGTTTGCATGTGTATGCCATGGCCAGGCTCAGATCTTTGGAAGTTTCTGATAGGTAAGGAAGAGGAGTATGGGGAGGGAGAACTGGGGGGGGGGGGGGGGGATTGCTCTGGTTCCCTTTCACATCTGGAATGTTCTCCCACTTCCCTGCTCAAATCCCACCAGCCAGCTCATCCTTCCCCGATGACTACAAGCCTCCATGGTCTCTCTCCTTTGTCTGCTTTCCTTCCTACTTACAGCACGTGACCTCTTCTTGGCTGTTTTACCCAGAGTGAGCCTGTCTTCCTCACTAGATCTGAAGGTACTGAAAGGCCAGACAGGAGCCTTCTAGGTCACTCTATGGACCAGGACAGTTTCTCAATACCTTTTTTTTTTTTTTTTAGTCCAGTGATTTAGGATAAAGGGGAAGCATTCTTTTGCTCTCCTGTTGGCAGATTTCAGCCTCACAGCAGATCAGTTTGCACCCCACACAGCACCCAGATGGCATTCCAGTTCATCGGGGCAGAGGGCACTGGTGAAGCGTCGTAAACTCTGTTTCCTTGGCAGTGAGTAGGTTAGCTTATTCCTAAGCTCTGTGCTCCTCTCCCCGCTCCCCCGCCCCGCCCGAGCACTGTGCTCCCTGGAGCACCCTTGCCAAGGACCACCTACACGCTCTCTGGGGCCACCCAGGCCCTGCACAGCTGTGCTGAGCTTCAGACTCCCTCTGAAGACCAGGGCCTGCTCCCCCTTGTTGCAGACCTGCGGGACGCCCCCAGGGGCCTCGTGTTCCGAGACGGAGTGTGGCGGCCCCAGCTGCAGAACAGACGAAGGCGAGAAGAAGTGTGGGGGACCCGGCTGCGGGGGCCTGGTCACGGTGGCACACGGAGCCTGGCAGAAAGCCATGGACTTCGACCGAGACGTCCTGAGCGCGCTGGCCGAGGTGGAGCAGCTCTCCAAGATGGTAATTCGGGGGCAGCCTCGCTTTGTGGTGTTGGCTCTCAGTGACAGGCTAGAGGATCTGGAAGGGAGAGATCGATGTTCCATGGTGAAATGAAAGGGACATGGCAAGGACACGTCAAGTGTCAAAGTGCCGGTTGTTGTGAAGTCAGCAAAAAAAATACACAGGGAGGTTTTCTTCACAGAATATTTAAGAATTTGCTCTCTTCTCATGACAGTGATTTGAGATCATTTGTTACTTATCATGGGTCCAGGGATATGAATACATTGAGCTGTGCTATAAAAATTTCATGCTGAGCAGCTGAGCATTTATTTTTCTAAAGCGACCATGTTAACATCCTGTTTTATAGGCCACCAAATGGTTCGGAGGAGTTAGAAACAATTAGAAAAAAATGTTTATATGCTAGCCCGATCTGTATGAGAAATTGTGTGGCCAGCTCTAGACGGAGTACTTTCTGTCCATAGAGGAACACAGTACAGTTGAATGAGAGACATTTGTTTCTAAAACCCATGGTTCCAAATGCATAGCTTTTCAGCGTCACTTTCCGGGCCATTTATAGTATTCTGGTCTGCCGTAGAAAGAGTGAAGTTGTTCCCTGGGTCATTTATTCCTCATATTTAGGTCTCTGAAGCAAAACTGAGGGCAGATGAGGCAAAACAGAATGCTCAGGATGTTCTGCTGAAAACCAATGCTACCAAAGAAAAAGTGGACAAGAGCAACGAGGACCTGAGGAATCTGATCAAGCAAATCAGAAACTTTCTGACCCGTAAGTTGTTTCCATTTGACTTTTAGACATTGCTTCTTCTTGTCGAATATAAAAAATGTTTTGTAAGAATCTGTGTTTGAGAGACCAGAATTCAAGTCTGCATTTTAGAGAAAATCCATTTCTGGCTGGGAATAAAGTCACATTTCAAAAGAAAAAGTCCATGTTAAGAAATGTTGGCATTTCTTAAGCTACGTGTACGTAAGTCATCTTCTCTGATGTTATGCAGACACAGATGGGATACCCAAGTGGGAATCAAGTCAAACACACGCTGTGAGAACGAATTTGGAATCTGTTAGAGATTACATAGAACGTCCTTCGATCCTCAAAGCAGTAGCTTATTTGGACGCTGCCTGCAAAGCTTTGGAATCCTCTTATTTACAGGACACCATACTTATGGTTAGCTCCATCCCTTCCTGTTCTGTAGAGAAAGAGAAAATCTCCAGTTTGTGGTCCAGCTAAGTGTTTCTGGTCACAGTCTGAGTGTCGTCAGTAAAGGATGGTGTTGGCTTCAAGTTACACAAAACTTTCAACTGAAATGGGCTCAATCAAAAAAGATGCATACTGTATCACATAGCAAGAGGTTCTGGGGCTCATGTAGTAAAGGTCATCTGCTTTGTTCTCGGGCCAGCTCCTGGTTACAAGGTGGCTGCCCAAAGTTTCAGACTTCACACAAAGCCTCGACAATCCCTCGTGAAAGAAGAGACGACCTGTTTCCCTACTGTATCTTTTCTAAAGGAAGGAAATCTTCCTCCAGACGCCTGGAGCAGTCATCCCGATAAATCTCACGGGCCAGGAAAGCATCCCATCCCATGCATAAATGTCAAATGGAATGGGATTACCATCGTTGACAGACTAATCAGCATTTAACTCTTGAGTTGCTAAGTTTACCTTCTCTTAGTGGTGGGCGCCTGAACAAAATAGTACTCTGTTAGCAAGGAAAATGGGGAGTAAGAAAGGAGCCAATGGTATTCCTATGGCTATCTTACGAAATATCCTGTGGAAGCCATCACATGATCAAATATTTTCCCGTGCTTAAACCCTTAGGGGTCCATTTTTATGTTAATAGTTAAAAAGTAAAACAAAAAACCTTAAATCAATGACATGTTTGAAGCTTAACCTCTTGGGCATTTTTCTGACCAATTTTCACATTAGACATTTGAAATTCCTTAGCTTCTGTGATAATATGCTATCAGATTCTCTT